CCTCCCAAAGTGCTGGGATTACAGGCGTGAGCCACCGCGCCCGGCCACTAATTTTCATTTAATGTTTATTAAATGAAATATTTTTATTGATATAATGTTTCAAGTCATGAAATAGTTCAACAATGAAAAATTCAGGTAGTCTGTTGACATTGTGGTACAAGTAACAAACTCCAAATACACTAAAAATGTGAGTACAGAGATACTGTTCATCAGTTTGAGAGGTTGGATTTGTCAAAAAATAATAGCATTACATTTTTTGTTTTTGAGAATGCATCTTGCTCTTACCGCCCAGGCTAGGGTACTGTGGTACGATCTTGGCTCACTGCAACCTATGCTGCCGCTGCCACGTGCACCCCTCCACAACCCCCCACCCCCCAATTTAAAATGATTCTTCTGCCCCAGCCTCCTGAGTAGCTGGGTCTGCAGGCACGTGCCACCAGGCCTGGCCGGGTTTTGTTTTTTTCTTTTAGACAGTCTTGCCCTTGTTGCCCAGGATGGAGTGCAGTGGTGTAATCTCGGCTCACTGTAACCTCTGAATCCTGGGTTCAAGCTGTTCTCCTGCGTCAGCCTTCTGAGTAGCTGGGATTACAGGCATGCACCACCATCCAAGGAACTTTTTTTTCCCCTATCTGTACCTTTCAAGAGGATATTCTTACATCCTCCTCAAAGTAAAAGGAATGAATAGACAGATTGTTTTTTGGAGTGAAGTTTATAGGAAGTAAGTCCCAAGTCTGGCTCCTTTATCTTTGATGCTTTCCTTTGTCCTACTCTGTTGGTTTATTTTTCTTGTAATGTTGCCTTCATATGATTGCTCTCCCTCCCTTTTTCCTTGCAATATAGATTCCTAATGGAAAACCCAGCTCTTCCCTTCCTAAACACTCCACTTTGTAAGTCATGATCATGGCTCAGTGAATTCTGCTTTCGGTTTGGTTCTTCACTAATCATGCCTGCGTCTTTCCATCCTGTTGCTTACAAACTGCCTGTCCACCTTCCAGGGCACCTTTTATGGCCTGCTCCTCCCGCCTACTTGTGGTTGGGTGTGATATATGGCAAAGATACTTTTATGCCAAAGTTACGTGGAACTTTTGCAAATCTCATGGTTGCTTACTAGTGAATTGTGTTTTAGTGTTGTGTTTTAAGCATATTTTGTCAGTGGTTTGCTGTTAATGAGAGCGAATGTTCCTATCATGTTTCCTAAGTTTGAATAGTTATTGTCATTTAAAGAACAATTGGATGCCTATCAGCTCTTTCATCCGTAAGCCATGGTTTTTTTTTTTTTCTTTGCCTTTGCATATTTTTTTCTGTATTATGAGTTAAAGACCTTCATGTATCTTAAGTAGTTTTTTAATTAAAAATAAAAAAATTTTTTTTTGAGACGAAGTTTCGCTCTTGCCCAGGTTGCAGTGCAGTGGTGCACTCTTGGCTCACCACAACCTCTGCCTCCTGGGTTCAAGCGATTCTCCTGCCTCAGCCTCCTGAGTAGGTGGGATTACAGGCACACACCACCATGCGTGGCTAATTTTGTATTTTTAGTAGAGATGGGGTTTCTCCATCTCCATGTTGGGTCAGGCTGGTCTGGAACTCCTGACTTAGGTCATCTGCCAGCCTCAGCCTCCAAAGTGCTGGAATTACAGGTGTGAGCCACGGCGCCCGGCCAGTTTTTTAAAGACTGCCTTAAAAAAAAAGACGGTCTTGCTGTGTCGCCCAGCCTGGAGTGCAGTAGCATTCAAAGCTCACTGCAACTAGAACTCCACCTAAGCCCCCCAAGTAGCTGGAACTGTAGACATGTGACCCCATATTCAGCCTATGTAGTTTTTTTACTTTTATTTTTATTTATGTATTTATTATTTATTTATTTTTTGAGATGGAGTCTCACTGTCACCCAGACTGGAGTCCAGTGGCACAACCTCTGCCTCCTGGGTTCAAGCGATTCTCCTGCCTCAGCCTCCTGAGTAGCTGGGACTACAGGGACATGCCACCATGCCTGGCTAATTTGTGTGTGTTTTTTTGAGACGGAGTTTCACTCTTGCTACCTTAAGCTGGAGTGCAATGGCGTGCAACCTCCGCCTCCCAGGTTCAAGCAATTCTCCTGCCTCAGCCTCCCGAGTAGCTGGGACTACAGGGTGTGTGCCACCATGCCCAGCTAATTTTTTTGTATTTTTAGTAGAGGCGGGGTTTCACCATGTTGACCAGGATGGTCTCAATCTCTTGACCTCGTGATCCACCCGCCTCGGCCTCCCAAAATTGTGGGATTATAGGTGTGAGCCACCGCGCCCGGCCTTTTTTTTTTTTTTTAAAGTAGAGATGGGGTTTCACCGTGTTAGCCAGGATGGTCTTGATCTCCTGACTTTGTGATCTGCCCGCCTTGGCCTTCCAAAGTGCTGGAATTACAGCATGAGCCACCGTGCCCAGCCGGGCCTTTTATTTTTTGTAGAAACAGGGCTTCACTGTGTTGCTCAGGCTCTCAGTAGTTTTTTTGAAGTTACATGTCAGTGTCAAACATTTCCATCACATAAGAGATTTTAAAACTACCTTTACTGAAACCTTCATGCTATAACAACATTTATCATTTTGGGATGTTTTAGGCTGGTTTAAAGCTGTCCTCAGTGTAAATGCTTCCTGTTTGTAGGCTGCTAGTCTGGGGATACTCGTCCATCCTAAGAAATAATTTAACAGCATTAGGGATGGATGGTCATCTGAATGCTTAAGATTGTTGGGTTAATTGATTTTTTATTTATTTTGATTCAAACTAGTTAACTATGTAGGAATTATAAGTGGTTTGTTTAAAGTACAAGAGAATGTAACTTTTACCTGTTACATCATTTTTAAGGGAAAAGCCTGCATGCTTCTTTATTTTGGCTGACTTGTTTAATGCTTACTGATAGGTAGATGACCTTCCAGTGAATAGGCTGGCTTCCTGTTGCATGTTGTAGCGCAGTTGAAACCCCCAGGGTAATCATCCTGTTCAAAGGGAAAAAGAGCATGAGCGAAGTGTCCAAATGCTGTTCATTAATAACCTCAGTGGTCTGGTTTACTTTGAGCATGCTGTGTTTCATTCTGAAAGATAATCTGATTATAGTTCGCTAAGATACAAAAGGTGAAATACTCATTCACAACAGCTGAGCACCCTTCAATAAAATACTGTAGAACTTCTTGGGGACATTTTATTGCCCAGTTAACTATGTTGAAGCATTTCTGATAATTAGCTTGTGGGTAAATAAGATTTTGCAAAAAGCTTGCAAAATACTCTTGATTCTTGAAGAGGTAAGGTTATTGAAGAGTATTTTGACCCAAGATGTGTGTGGAAGCTTGAACGTCATTTTAGTAAGATGGTTTCCTTGGCTGTGTACTTGAAGGGCTCATTCAGCATAAAGGCATTGAGTCTCACTGCACATGAGTTTTTTCCCTTCTACTGACCTGTATTTTCAGGACCACCATCCCTTCTTGGTTTAGACATCTCAGGTGTCAAGGATGATGGAAGTAGTTTGTTTGTGTTTAATACAATTGTAACAAATACAAGGAGTTTTATGTTTGGAATGACACCTTTGTTTGTGGCTACCAAAGCCTCATGTAGTCAGTATGAAATAATTGTTTTTTTTTTTTTTCAAACAGGTGAAGAGCAGAATAAAGAAGCGCTGCAGGATGTGGAAGACGAAAATCAGTGAGACATAAAAGCCAACAAGAGAAACCATCTCTGACCACCCTACTCCTACCCTCCCCACCCCTTGGAAACTCCCCACTGTCACTGAGAACCACCAAATCTGACTTTACATTTGGTCTCAGAATTTAGGTTCCTGCCCTGTTGGGTTTTTTCTTTTTTTTTTTTTTTAAATAGTTTTCAAAAGTTCTTAAAGGCAAGAGTGAATTTCTGTGGATTTTGCTGGTCCCAGCTTTTAGGTTCTTTAAGACACTAACAGGACTGCATAGAGGCTTTTTCAGCATGACCGTACTGTCTCCGTGCCAGATGTGGCAAGATCACCATTAGAAATGGAAATTACATGTGAAAGCCATTAGACTTGTAGCTGGTGCAAGCATCTAAGAGAGGTTAATCACACTGTCGAGGCAGAGGTGGGATCACTTTTCATTTTTCTAATTGTTTAAACCATATTTTATACCAGTGTTTGAAAGTAATTGGGTGTTAGCTTGAGATGGTTCAGGTTGTTTGGGGAGGGAGTTTGTGGTAATGGTTTTACTGTAAAAAGTGTTTGAAGCTCTGCTGAAATGTTGCTGAAAAGCATGGTGCTGGTAACAGTTCAACAATCCGTGGCTGCTCAGTCTTGCCTACTTGACTCTCCCACTGAAGCAGGTTAGCGTTGGAGGTGGTGTGGAAAAGCCAGCATGCCTGTTCAATTCTTTGTTTCTCCTCCTTCCCCCTCCCCTCCCTCGTTCCCTCACCCCTCCCCTCCTTCGCTCGCTCAGCCTCTTTTGTTCAGTATATGTAACTTGAAGCTAATTTGTACTACTGGATATCTGACTGGAGCCACAGATACAGAATCTGTATTGTTCTTACTGAAACACAGCATGGATTAACATTAAACTTAAATAAAACAAACCTAAATTAAAAATGCCAAATATCATTGCGCCTCCATCCTTTATACTTCTAAAATAAAATCTCTAGTCCAAACAGTGTTATGTCTGCGTGAATGCGAAACATTCCTTTTTTCTTCCATAAATAATTTGTTTGCTTCCCAAAGATGTGTATTTTGGGGAAAAAATTGCCTATAATCTGGTTGTGAAAAACACTAAGTCAGTTGATTACATGTCTTGTCATCCAGAGCAGGTGGCAACATAGGGTTTATTTTAGTCATTAAAGGTGCAGCATAAGTGGTACAAGGGGTAACTAGGGATCATTTTCTAGCATAGTATTTTGAGCTGTTCCACCAAATAAGGCTGAATGTCTTAGAATTCTTAGAGGTAACTGTGTGTGCCCTCTTCCTCCAGAGGTCAGTGGCAGTAGTGGAGAATTAGTCGTTTGTCGGTGATGCATGCACACATTGCAGATGGCGGTAAACCAGCATCCTTTCCTGGAAACACTCAGTGTAAGAAGCTTCCTTCCGTATGACCGTGGATACACCCGTGTGTCTAGATACCTGGTGACTGTAGATCTTTTTGTGTTGCGCGCATTGTGACTGCCTAACGTTGATGTACACCTGAGTTTGTTAGACCAGGCTGCTACTTTTGGACAGGTGCTGCAGTCAGTACCCTTGCAGCAGTTTCTGCTTAAGTATTTGTGTGTATCTGAAAGGTACATTTCTAGATTCCATGTTGAGTAAACATTTTCCAGTTCATCAGTGCTCCCTCGTCATGCTTGACTCTAGGAAAATTAGATGTTGAGACTGCAAGTTTACTCTGGACTTGAACTCTTAGCAGAGATTGAGGAAATGAACAGATTAGTGATATCCTAGTGTGTCTGTCTTCAGTGAAATGAGAAGAAACATGTTTTTGTGAGTCACTTTTCCGAGAGAGTCAGAGACCATTGAATGTGAATTGTGCTGCTACCCTTTTGGAGTGACCTCCGAGGCTTTCAGGTTGATGGTCTGCTCTGTTTCCCGCACACCTGCTACATTCAAGGTCAAAATTGAAGGAATTCATAAAGTCTATTGCCAACTTTTAAGGAAACCACGCGTGGGATGCGGGGATTTTCAGGCTGCCACCGCGCTCAGCACAGCTTGTGGATGGACCTGAGTTCAGATGAACACATGTAACGGTGGACATTTGTTACAGAGCAGGCTTGTGGAGGTGCTTTTGTTTTACCTTGTAATGAGGCAGTACCAGACATTAACGCTCAGGTTGGTTCACCACATGATTTTTGCTTGGTGAAAGGGTTTCTTAGTTAAGGCTGAGTCAGCAGTTTGAAGAGGTGTGGAGACTTTTGCGAGAACACACAAACCTGCCACTTGGAGAAAGGTCCTTATAAACAAATGGAAAGAGGCAGCCGGCGAAGTGTGTGGAATGGTGGCCAGCCCTGCGCGGACAGTGTCACTCCCACTTCCGTATTGTAGGCTGGAAAGGGAATTGCTCCAAAGTTTCTGCTGTTGAGTCATCCTTGAGGAGCGGTTGACTCAAATAGGCATTTTTAGTCACAACTTGAATGTAGCTAATTAGTGTTTTAATTACAAATCTCATCGCACTTTGCCTTGACAAAGGAAACCGCAGAGGTTTCCTAAAATGCTAGGAGCAACAATAAACAGGTTTGTGCATGCTGAGTTCCGGATGGGCGGCTTGAACGGCACATCTCGAGTCATGTTTCCGTCTTACAGGAAGATGAGAATGAACTTTGATCACAGAAAGGGGAAACAGATGGAAGAAATGTAGACTTTTAATTGGCTTCTGTCCAAGACAAATGCCTTGCGAATTATCAGTGAGATCCCAAATGAGCCGCTTGGACGGTAGAGAGGGGAGCGGGCATGCAGGAAAACCAGGATAAAGATGTAAACCCTTGTTTTCTTTTGAAAATTGTAACAAGTGTAAGTTCATGGAAAACGTGAAATCCTACCATGTGTCATTAAAGGAAGCCTTTGTGAGCAGCTTTAGAGGAAATGGCAGGATTCCCAGATCCAACCTGGATCAGGAAAATCAAGCCTTGTGTTTTCTCCTATTTTCTTTGAGTTCCTAGGCTTGTAATTGATACTGTTAATATTTTGCTAACATTGAGTATCAGCTTTGCACTAGGCACTGTGCTTATGACTTAGCAATGTCTGGAATCTAGCAAAGCATGAAGTGTCCAGTAGTAACTAGGTGAGCTGCCGCCTGCAGTTTGCAAATAGGAAAGCAGAGTAGGGAGTAGTAGCTAAGAACTTCCTCAATACTACACAGCTAATTACTCAAATACAGAATTCAGGGAGTGAGTGTGGCTCAGGGGTCCCATTAGGCCATACTACCTTTTGCTCTTCACGAAAACTCAGTATTATCTCAAAATACTGTAATATACTGTATTCTAAAGTGATCATTTAAACGTATTTAAATGTTTTCATGGTCAGTACATGTTTTATAATTGATACGTGTCTTGGAAAAGCTGTGATATGCATATTCGCCAGTGTATTAGAATTGAAATACAAATGATACAATTATGTGGCTACTATCTAAAGAGAAAGTTTATTTTGTAGGTTAAAGTTTTGGCAATTTTTTTTTTTTT